CCTGCCGAGGAGGAAGGGCTATGTGCTCCCCAGCCTCCCTTCCCAGGCAAAGAGGCCAAGGGGGTCTACAGACTGATCTCACCAAGCTCCCCATGCAGGCTGCAGAGGCTCTGAAAACTGAAGACCTATGTGCACGCGCACTCCCGCATGGTGCAAGTGTTACAGCTCTCTGAGTGAGCCCAGGCTTCTCCTACATGCTGCCTGCCTACCTCTTCCTGCCTCAGCTCTGTCCTACAAGAGGAGCAAATGCTCTCCAGACCCCACAGAACCTTTTGGGCCCATGGCCACCCTCCAAGATGCTGCAGATGAGCCACAGCAATGGCCCAGAGCCCTCACCATAGGCTAGAGATGACACAGATTGTGGCCTCTGCTGCCTACCCAACACACAGCCCTGTACGGATCATCCCTGTACCTCAATTTCTCCTTTTGTCTAAAAGAAAATGACACTCTCTCCAAACGAGAGAGCCTAGCTGATGACACTCAGTCTAGCCTGAGCTCACAGTGATGCTCCCATTCTATCCTTCGTTGAGTAAGGCCTTGGGGAAGCTATCACACAGGGAGTGAGGTGAAAAGGGAATGGGAAAGTAAGACAGGAAGTGGAAGGGAAAGACTTATGTCTGCACCAGTGCCACACAGCCTTGTTTTGAAGTACTTACTTTATTCAGCTGGAAGTAATTTTAAAATGGCAGTAAAAAAACATACATTCTTTTTTTTCTTTTTTGAGTTCATGGCTGGCCTCAAACTACAGCGATCCTCCTGGCTCAGCCTCCTCCCAAGTGCTGGGATTATGTGCTACCACCCCTGGCTGTTCTTAAAAATCTGCTTTTCTGTGTTACTCACAAGAAAGTGCTCAAAATTCAATGTGACCTTAGGAGGTTGCACCTCTGAGACCAATAAAGCTGGACATATTTCTTCCCTATAACTATCCTCAGACAAGGCTTTTCCACACTGGCCCAACATGCCACTTCAGTCTCTTCCTTTCACTCATTCAACAGCCCCAAGAAGGACCTCCTCTGCAGGAAAAGCCCTCATGCACACCTACAAGATTACTGGTATCACAAGAAGCTGGGTAGGGGGGCACATGGAGGCAGAGGAAAAGGTCTTTGCCTGCCACCTTCCTTTTAAGCCCTACTGTTTTCTTCTGCACTTTTTAGTATCTAAACATGGTCCTGTGCACATAACTAGAATTAAGTACCCTCCACAACTGTCTACAATGCAAGAATTCAATTTCAAGGAAGCAAGGGAGACATCTGGACACAGGACAGAATACCTGCTTTCTCCTGGCCAATAGCACCTCCTACTAGGCTGAGGGTTGGAGGTTCCCTGTTTCATATTACAAGTGCCTGATTTCACACACAAGAAAACAAGATAGGAAAGCCCCAGGAGCAAAGTTAAGTTAGATAAACAGATCTGATAAATTATTGCAAACAGAAAAAAGAGATGGAGGAAACAGCTGCGCTAGGTCTCCTAACTGCCCAGGATCCTTCTACCTATGCCAGGGAGCACCAAGGGGCTCAGAAATTGACAGGTAAACTGGAAGTATTTGCCCTTGCTGCCCAGGTCACATGACATTCATGATATGACAACCACATTCAACAGCAATGGTGGCAAAGAGACAACAAAAGGTACCTGTCAAGGGCAGGAACATTCCAGGAGGAAAGGAGGAAAGAAGAAGGGATCAGTGATTTTTTTTCTTTTTTTTTGGTTTTTCTCCAGTAACAGGAATCAAACTCACAACCTAGCGCTTGCCAGGCAGGTGCTGTGCCGCTGAGCTAAATCCCCAGCCCAAGAACAGTGATTTCTACCAAGTCCCACCTCAAGAAGATTAAAAAACAGAACTGTGACTCCCCAGGGGCCCAGAGAAGCCCAGAAAGCCCAGGGAATAGGCTTGAGAATATCTAAAGCCACTAAGCAGACACTACATGTGGTAAAAGTAGATTCTGGTCAACATAAGTTACCTTTTCAGAATCTTTTCATGTAGTGCATTCTTTCAGGTTATCTTCACAAAAAGCTAGTAAAGTCTACAGAGAAAAGCGTACTTGCACTGAAGAGATGAGGGAGCTCAGGCTCAAAGGGAACAGTCACCTTGGCCCCCCTGTAAGAAGAGGGCAAAGCAGAGCTCACCTCCCAGAATGCTCTAAAGAACAGACTCTGGGGCTGGGAGCCAGTACCTCCCAAAGGTGGGGAAATGGATGAGCTCACTGAAAGGTTCAAAGTTATGTACACAGTAAAAGGAAACTATAATCTATAAGGAAATGCTATATCATAAGATGAGATTCTAGCCCTAGCCCAGTATATTCTTCAGGTAAGAAGAAAAAAAGGAAGCAGAGATAACACCAGCACATGCCCCAGTCATCTAGTGTAAAGGAAGAATCCCCAAAACAAACTTTTTTTTTTCGTCTTTTTGAGTCAGGGTCTTGCTATGTAGTTCAGGCTGGCCTTGAGTTCACTTTGTAGTCCAGGCTGGTCTCAATGATCCTCATGCCTCAGTCTCCCAAGTGCTAGGATTACAGGCACATGCCACCACGCCCGGTGCAAAACAAACTTTTTAAAAAGAGTCCAAGACATCATCTGTGGAGTTGGGGAAAAAGCTATCTCAAATAATACAGGTCAAGAGCTGAACAGCTGGTCAACTATAAGCAGAAGAACCATTCAGGGCCAATAAAATGTACCAAGAAGTCAAGAAGACTCTGAAGACTGAGGGAAACACAGGGCCCAGGTATCCACCAAAGACAAGACACAGCAAGGACTTAGCAGAAGGTCTGCACAGAGCAGATGACTGTGACTGTTAATTGCCAGAAGTGATGCAGTCACACAGTTGTAGTAACATTAGAAAGCTAAGTCCTTCCCTGAAGCCAGTCTCTAAGTTGTGGCCCCAAATTCAAACTTGAGATCACAGTTTATTGTGATCTCAAGGGCTCTTAATGAGAGCAGACTCTGTTCTTAACCTCCTGACTGACAGCGCCTGCAACAGGTGCTGTGTTCTCTGCAAGAGGGGGCCTGACATTCCAGAGGAAGGGGTTGGGGGTTGGGTGGGGGACATGGACCATTTCCAGTTCTAAAGAGTTTCTGTCTACCACCAGCCCCTCTACCAGGAGTCTCCTGAAGTCAGTAGAAGTCCACAGGCAACCACTAAGACACCTGTCACCTCCACACCCTGTCCCGCTTTCCTTCAGTCTTTACATATATTAGCCACAGACACCCAAGCCTGGCTCATATGCTTTAAGAAGGGCAGTCCCGGGGAGGAGACAAAGCTCAATGGCTCCATTTTCCACCCACTGCTCCCACACACTTAGCCTCTCCACTCCCTGCTGGTCTTTCCTAGGATTGCTAGAATGATTTGTTCTGAACAGCGACAGGTTTATAGGTTAGCCGACACCTCTGCTCTGTGGAATTTTAATTAACTTCTCCCATCGTCAATATGCTAAGGAACGGGGTCTCCATTCTCTGGGGTCAGCAATGTGTTTCAGGTCTTGCTATATCAGCCGTCAAATTGAAGAATTAATGACGTGGCTAATCGGCTCTAATTCTTAGGTAGAAAAAAATTTGAAAGGGAGTTGTGGAAGGGAGCAGGAGGAGGGGTGCAGGCTCCATAAGGTGAGGAGAAAGAGGCTAAAGGGGGCTAAGCAAAGGGAGGACCAATCTGCTCATAAAACAACTGACTGACTTAGCATTGGACAGTAGCACCCCTACAACTTGTCCATCTCCATTTGGGTGGGATGAGAGGTGACAGAAGTAGCCAAAGACCCTAGTAATACCATGACAGAACAGGTACAGGACAGAGTCTGTGCAACCTGCTATGTACATGGACTGAGGGGCTTGGCCATGTTTCAAAGAGCCTAGAAAGCAGAAGTCAGGATACAAAGCTCACATGTTCGTTTTCTCTAGTTAAACCTAGAGAAACACCAATCAGGCCAAAAGGTAGGGCAAAGCCATCATTAAACATGCTGCAAGCCAGATGTGGTGCTGCATGCCTGTAATTCTGAGGCAGGAAGATCACTGTGAGTTCGAGACCAGTCTGGGCTACAAAGTGAGCTCAAGGCCAGCCTGAACTGCACAGCGAGACCCTGCCTCAAAAAGACAAAAAACAAGATAAAACACAACAAAAAACATGCTGTATTTCTGCTACAATTGTCAGTGCTTCTGCTCCTCCACATACATGTATTTGGATACAGACCCAAGCTTTTCTTGACAATTCTAGCCTATGAGGGATACGCCATATGATATCTTCCGGGGAACAAAAGCAGAAGTGTGCGTTGTGAGAGCAAGTTAGTGATACTGTAACCTCCCAGAGATGCTGGCAGGCCTCTGCTTTGGAGCAACCCCAAAGGGCATCTGCTCCAAAAAGGACACCCATATAAATAGCTGGACTCAGTTATAAGAGCTGGATACTCTGCAAATCAGTATGGTTTCTTTTCCTTAACATTTCTGAGGTTGGGTGCTTAGGAGATTAACCCTAGAAAGTTATTTCAACCCCATCAATATATGAAAAGACCTCAATTCTCTTGAAGAATTTAAAAATCTCCAAGACAGTGGCTCAAAGCAACCTAGAATATGTAGGTGGGAGATTTTCTAGCTCATGTGACATAGTAAAACAAAAGCATTACAGAAAGTCTTCTATTTACAAACATTCATGTTGTGAACTTCACAGATAAGAATGGACCTCAGATTACAAACATAAATGCAAACAAACTGTGGAAGTAGCTCATGTGTCTACCAGGCATTGTCACAGCTGTGCTGCTGAGTGCTTACTGTACAGTGTGATGGTGTACAGTAGTACAGTGCTCAATCAGAGCCCAGGGTGTCCAGAAGCAAGAGGAAAAGTGGTGGTGATGTGGAGGGGACTGCAAAGCAATATACATTGTATATTTATGTCAACCCTCATTTTGTGGGACTTACAAATGAACCTGGCTTATGAACATTCTCCTGGAATGGAACTCATTCAAAAGTTGGGGACTTATTGTATATGGGACAAATCACATCCAAAATGTCTCCCTTACCTGAGTAATGGGCTGATAGCAATGGACCAGACTCGGTCTTCAGTCTGGATGGTGTGTAAGCACTGCCCCAGCCGGCCTGAGGTCAAAGGCCACACCTGGAAACAGGAAAGGGAATGCTCTCATTGGCATTGCCTGGGATTAGGGGGAAGAAAGATGTGCCAGGTGGCGACTACACCTAGGGAAGTAAGGAAATGGAAAATCCTCTCTGTTCTGCACACATAGAGCTCAGGACCTCTGCAGCTTGGTGCTCACCTACATTTAGACAGACCCTAGCTCCCAGTCCTAACCGCCCTCTGACTTCCACCAAAGGCCATTATGTACCAGCCAATTTCATACCAGAGAAACAGAAATCTCACATTCCTCAGCTGAGACTTTACTAACAGAGTGAGTAAATGGAGCTTGCCTCTCACAGCAACTTCCCCTCATCTGTGGATCATCCTTTCTCTTATCTCTTCCTAAGATTTTACTCTGGGCAAGCAGGGAGAGGAAGGCCAAGGTGCCGTATGGGAGTACAGGGATAATCAGAACACTAAAAAGAAAGCTGCAAGGGAAGGAAAGAATGGAGGAAGAGAAGCAGGAAGAGGATATGTTGTTTGTTTGTTCATATTGCCCAGGACCCAATGCTATGCATGTCAACAGGGAATTTAGCACCTAGTGTCACCCAAAGTAACAGAAAAGCTTAACTCTTTTAAGCTTCCATATCTCCTACAGGTTAAAAATATTGCTTGGAGCACATTATCTGGACCCTATCAGTCAGGAATGTACATTAGCAGCTACTCTGGGCTTAACTCTAATCAACACTCACAGAGCCCTCTCAGCAGCGCATTTAGAAATCTCCCATTAAGCACTGGTCTCCCCGCTTACCTCACCTTACTCCAGATGACACACAAGGGATATAAATCTAACCAAACAGAAAACCTCAAATGCACAGGGCTGTCCCCAGATGTAGCCGCAGAGGGATCCCAAGGCAGCCAGATGGATCAGTGACCTCTCAAGGTCCCTGCAGTGCTATAAGAGGAACATGGTAAATGCAGGCAGGACCTTAGATGGAAGAACTTTAAGGAAACATTCCTCTAGTTTAAGGGGTAGGTGATGGGGTGGGGGTGGTCCTGCCTTCTTGAGTCACATGGTGCCTCCTCTCTATGAAAGTAAGAGGGGTTTCTTAGAGACAGAGAGAGAGAGAGAGAGAGAGAGACTACGTACGTGTGCGTTGGAGTGATTGTGTGAGTGCCTCTGTAACTTTTCTAGGGAAAGAAAATAAATTTAACTAAAAGATCCTGAACAAGGAGAGGCAGAAGGCAAAGGTAAACTGTAATTCTCTCTGGAACACCAAGATTCCAGTTTACTCTGGGCTTTGTAGTCAGCCTCTTTGTTAATAACTACATGTATTTCTGATTTCCTCCTTCAGACTGCCCCGCTTGGAAGAGAGATCTCCCTTGTCCCTGAGATGAACTCCTTGGGAGGCAGGTTCTTACCTGCAGGGAGGGGGCACTGAGGAATCTGATTTACAAAATCTCTGGGAACAGCCTATTTCAGTAGTGCCCTCTGTGTAGAGGACTGGTAGATTCCTAGATTCTGCAAACCACAGAACAAGATTCCTGGTGTCTTGGAGTGGTTCAGGAAGCACTGCCAATGGCAAGCATGACTTGGAAAAGCAGCCCTCCAAGCCTGCACCAGCAGCACCACACACTCCAGCAGCATGAGTGTCCTTGAACCTGAGGGACAAGAACTGACACAGTGTGGTGGGTATATCTTTACCCTCAATGGTCCAATTCATAACAGATCTACCTTGGAAAATAAATATACAGTAGGAATGGACATTATATAGCCCTTTTCCAAAAAAAGATTGGGGGTAGCAAGACCCTTAAAATGACCAAAGCTTTTAACTCAGAATTCTAAAGCTGAGCACCCATGCTAACAAAATCATACTAAAACAAAGCAAAACCTAAATAGTAAAATACTCCCTGCAGCCTGCAGTTGCAGAAAAAGCATGTAAAGGCTTTGGGATCTAACCAATCCGCACTATTACTTATTATCTCTCATCTTAAGGATGCTTCATAATTTAACAAGAAATGGCCTCAACTTCTTGTCACTTGACTAGCTTGGGAGCTATAAAGAGGATTAGGAAAGCGCACTTCCAGGTGTGTCTGGTCGTCCAAGGTGCCCTTGGGAACTATATCTGGTCCTCACCCCTTCGTCTCTGGCATTGCTCCCCTGCTCTGCTTCCCAACTCCACTACACCCTTTTGCCATGATATTCCTGCCTTGGAGCCAGCTGAACATGCACTGAATCCCTTGAAACCATGAATCAAATTAAAGCTCTCTCCTTTTCTTTTTTTTTGTACCGGGAATTGAACTCAGGACTTTGGGCTTGCCGGGCAGGCGTTTATGCCACTAAACTATATCCCCAGCCCCAAAATGAGAATCTCACCCCATATAGACACAAATTTGTTTTGTTTTGTTTTGTTTTGTTTTTTGGTACCAGGAGTTGAACTCAGGACCTTACACTTGCCAGGCAGGCGCTGTGCTGCTGAACCATCTTCCGAGCCCATTTTTTTGTTTTTTTGAGACAGAGTTTGACTGTGTAGCTTAGGCTGGCCTTGAACTCACTATGTAACCCAGGCTGGCCTCAAAGTTTTGGTGATCCTCTTTACTCAGCCTCCCAAGTACTGAGATTATAGGCATGTGCCACAATGCCCAGCAACTCTCTTTTAAGATTTATGGGTGTCAGGTTTTGCGTCTCAGTGACAGGAAAACTAATACAGTATCTCACAGCCATACCAATCCTGATAAAGTCCAGAGAAGCAATACCAACTAAGTTACAGTAAATCTGAAACTGGGATTGGGCAGCAGGGAAGGAAGAGGGACATTTCTGGGGCAGTGCCTGGCTCAGAAGTTTTGCAAAGAGAATGTTTTGCTCTCTTCATCCCATAACAAGCACCTCTTTCCTAAAAGATAGTACATATCTGCAAAACTTTCAAAAAAATAGGTAATAGAGGTTTCTGTCTACAACATTACTTGTAAGATCTACTGTGGGCTTAGGTGTATTAGAAGTCTACAGAAACAGCTGTAGAATTGATGTCACTAAAAAGAAATAGAGATCCAGTTATAAGACAAATTGTAAGTAATGTAGAAATGGGCCAAGAAATGGAAAGTGGCTGGATACATGGACAATACCAGAAAGGAGGGAGACCCAAGCTGCATCCAGAACACCGGAAAGGATGAGCTAACCAGGAGGTCACAGGGAGTTCCACAACAGCTGGTTCTCTCTCAGGAGGTGAAGAAGAACAGAAAAGGGAATTCTGTAGAAACCTAAAAGAAATCCTCAAAAGGAAGAGGGTGGACTGTGGTACAATTTTTAAAAGTACAGAGTATATATTTTTAATCTCTTTAAAAATCCAAGCTATTAAATAGAGCTGAATCAATATTTATATATGAAATAAATCTCCAAAAAAGTTGCTAGCATTCTTCACTTGTAAGCAGTCTGTGCCCTCAAACTGCTACATGTAGTTAAAAGCTTAGTTTATACTGTTCAGGGTGTCAGAATACAGAGAATAGGACAGAAGAAAAAGATGTCACTAAAAAGGAGGTACAACGGAAGCCAGAAGCCTTGACAGGAAGATGCTAGAATGAGATGGGAATATGTAAGTCACAAAAATATGCATGCCACAAAAAGTTTCTATACAAATTTCCTTTTGAGCAGAAGGGCAAATTAAGGCCAATATCTTTGCAAGGAATGCTATAAAAGCAGTGACCAATCAGAAACCTAAAGTACTAGGGAGGGGAAGGAGAAGCAAATGACAGGAAATCCAGTTTCCATGTTGGTCCAAAACACTTGCGGGATGTGTCCCAGGCTTCCTGTGCTGGTGTGCATTCTCTGACTCAATAAAAAATCTAAGACAAAAAGCAGCAAAGGCAGAAACTTCGATAAATAGAAGGGAACCTATTTAGTCCTTTTTACATAAATTAGCACAGGAATAATCACTAAAGGGTACATGGAGCGAGAAAAGTTCCTGAGAATAGATTATAATTTCCCCTTCCTGAGCCCTCTCCCTATATTTTTAGGTGCCCATTTGCTGATACCAACAAGCATTTTGCTGTTGTTGGCACTATGGAGCTTCTAGATGTTGGGAAATAGACAAGCAAGACACTGCTTGGCCTCCTGCACACCAACCAAATTATCAGCAAAGTTCCTACAGCAGCCCCAAAGGACCAGGCTCCTTTCCTAGCTAGGGCTGTTGGACACAGGCATGGAGAATTTTTTCTCTGTCTCCTGAGTGGGAGCCTCCTTGTCCCAGATGTAGATGAGCTGAGTCCACAAAGCAAGATTCATGCTGTTTACCAACCTCATTCTTTTATGCCTTAGTGGATACCTGCAGGCCTGGCAATGTGGCAGAGATGCTACAATCACCACTTTTCTCCCCTCATCTCTACTAGTCATTGATCACATTACTCTCCAAAGAAGTAGTAAAAATACATTTTAATTATCAGCCTAACTGCTTATAAACAAGGTGGTGAACAATTAACCTCCCCAAACAGAGAGCAAGCAAAAGGAGGGAGATTTTAAAATAAAATACTGGGGTCAGAACTCAACCCACAAATTTGAGGAAACATCCCAGGCCCTCTGTTTTTGAGTTCACGCCACATTTCAAGTGAGTGGCAGGCTTCCCAGCCACTGTCCACTCCTTTCCCAATCCAGCTGGCAGGGACACTGCCTGGCAGTGCAAGCTGCATGCCAGAGGCACATAAGTGAACTCTTTATTGTGTCATTTCTCCACTACCCCCACCCAATGCTCTCAGCCAGTCCTGGGATCCAAGGCCCTCTTCACCTCTCCCACCCTACTCCCTATAGACAGGACAGAACAGCGGTATGTAAGGCGGAGACCAGCTCACCTTGGCCGTCCTGTCCCTGGAGCCACTCACAATGATGTTCCCTTTGCAGTCCACACAGTTCACCTCCTGCTCATGAGCTGAGTACTTGACAGCAAAGGTGCTGTGAATCTTATGAACACCAATCTTCCCATCTCTAGGAGAGAAATAAGGAGCCCACCCCACAAGAGCCAATTACTCTCTCTGCAGGAAAAGAACCAATGTACAGAAACAGCCCAGCTCTCCAATAGTCCCCAAATGTGCAAAGCACGAGACAAGTGCTGAGCTTCTAGATACCTTTACTTCTTCAGTACACTTAGTACTGAATGGAGCTGAGATAAAATAAACTTCTCCCTGGAGAGGATCAAAATCAGCTTCATTCTGCATTAAAGGCTCTTCCTGTATTCCTTCTCCAGCTAACCCTATGAACTGCTTTTGCTAAGTCTGCTTTAAACAGAAAAATTAATTTTAAAAATGCCATTCTTTCTAGTCTCCATCTTCATCCCTTTGGGATTGAGACAGCAAAGTCAAGGCGGATATGAGGTTTCTAAAGAGGATGGAAAAAGAAGCCTTCAGCACTTACCCTCCTGCACTGATAATATGTGAGTTGGCCAGCACGAAGTGACAGACATCCTCATCATGCCCAGCGAAGACTCCCAGGGGCCGACGGTTCAAACTAGCACCATCTGGGCGGAACTGGTAGGCCAGGATGAAATTAGCCTGGGATATGTAGAGAGAATTATCCTCTAGTTGCATCCAAGGCATCTGACTGAAGAGATGGAGAAGAAAATGTAAGACTGACTCCAATCTTTAAACAAGCTGACCAATCCCCAGTCTAGCAAGGCTCACCTGCAAAGTTCCCAGACTATACTTTAATCTCTGCCTTCCAAGTTGCCTACTCTCAGCTTCCCTCAGAAAGCCAGCATGACTGAGTTTTGTGCTGACATAATCTTCAAACCTTCTAAAAGAGAACTGGAACTGTAAGACCAACTAAATATCTCTTTTAGGTGAAGAATGCTTAATATTTGAATTACTGGCTACCTGTACTTCTCAAGTGTAGGCAGAATTTACAAAATTAAATGGCTGATGGCCAGGAATCATGGCACATGCTTATAATCTCAGCACTCTAGGAGGCTGAAACAGGAGGATCACAGGTTAGAGCAACACAGACAATTTAGCAACTTAGTGAGACACCATCTCAAAATAAAAAAAATTTTAAAAATTTGAAAGTGCTGGAATGTAGCTTAGTGGGATCAGAAGGAAGTATCCCAGTCAAGTGAAATAATTTTCTTTCAATTTTCACACCAAGTGAGGTAACTTCTTTTGTTCTGCACCCTTAGACACAGATCAGTCAGAATCTACTGGGAAACAGTAATGGAGAAAACAGAAGAGTACGCCCTGGAAAGCCCCATTCCTTTGTCCTACTAGAGCAAAGGGACCATTTATAAGTGAAAGAAATAAGACTCCTTAGGAAGGGATGCTAATATACTGATTAGATGCCTAGATCCTCCCAGAGGTATCTATGTATCTGTACTGGAAGGTAAGTGTGACAATGGAAAAATAACTCCAGAGTGGCCTGCTATAGCTCAGGAGCTGCTGAGAAAGCCAGCTGCCACAGCAAGTGATAAGAGAAATCCACAGATAATTGAAGATTTCCTCTCCAACCTGCAGGAGGAAGAAGGGTTAGAAGCCACAGGCCAGTCCAATGGCATAACATGAGCCTTCAGAAGAAGGAAGACTCTGTAGGAGATTATGTTTTCTGGGAGGGTTATAAGCTCCCTTTTCAACATAGACAATCCACCTGTCTTACCCTAGAGGCCCCAAGAAAAGCAGAGGAATAGCTGATTCATCCCCATGTACAGACACCATCAACCACTGCCAAGTCTTTCTGAGCAAACTGGGCTGTTTCCTCCCCATGCTCCTTAACACAAGCATCATGGGAATGTGGAAAAGTTCTGCAAACTGACTTGACAAGCCATTAAATGCAACTTGGACTTGGTTAGGAACTGACTTTCTGCCCATGAGGCCTTTAGGAGTGTGTGCAAGTGTGACAGGGAACATGTGCAAATGTGTACAGATGTTTACACTCTCACTCATTATGCATATTCCTCTTCAACATCCTATGCGTAAGTGTGTGCACTCTAATTGGTGGCAAATAGGCATTGAAATTCATGTGTTTAGAGCCATCTGGTAAACAGCCATTTGCCTAGAACAAGAAACAAACCAGGTTCATACCAGGTGAACAGTGAAGAATCTCAGGGCAGCCTGGTGACTGTTCTATGTGTTTATTTGCCAAACTGCTTGAAACTGGCCCCAAAAGACAACATTAAGGACAAAAGCTTGATAGAGGAATAAACTCTACTCTCTGGTATTAAAAGGCACAAGTGGGAGCAAGGATAAAGTCCTTCATCATAAAAATCTATCCTTTTTTTCCATGGTTTCTTTGCCATCTCCACCACCACACAATTCACAGCAGCTGATGCTAGTGAAATCAGTGGACACTGGACACAAGCAAGAGAGAAAGGCTCAGACGATGAGGCTATCTATCAGCATGAGGATACGTCACTCCTGGAATGGGGAACTCATGAAGTTCTCTATCCACTGCAACCAATCAATGACAAGCACATTTTTTTTTTGAGACAGGGTCTTACTATGCAGTTCAGGCTGGCCTTGAGCTCACTTTGTAGTCTAGGCTGGCCTCGAACTTGCAACAATCCTCCTGCCTCAGCCTACTCAGTGCTGGGACTACAGGCATGTGCCACCATGCCGGGCTCGAGAAGCACATTTTAGATGGGGAGCCAAATGATATCTATGAAATAATTCAGCATTGATGCAGCATAAAATTTGCGGGGTTAGCAGTGCCACAGGCATCGTCTTCTTAGTCACTCTTCTCATCACTAGGACAAAATACCCAATACCTATAACTAAAAGGAGGAGAGCCTTATTTTGGCTTAAGGTATAGCCCACAGTTAGCTGGCTCCACTGCACTATGACACAGCAGAGGGACACAGCAGGGCAAAAGTTGCTCACTCATGGTGGCCAGAAAGCAGTATGTAAAGGAAGAGCCAAGAAGGCAGATGGACCTTTCCAGGTCACACCCCCAGTGACCTACCTCTTCCATCCAGACCCCATCTCCTAATGAATATCAGCAAGTCAGCTCCACTGCCCCATAATCCAGTCACCTCCCAGCACATGAGGCTTTGGGGGCCATCTAAATGTTAATACCCATCACCTAAACTTTCTAGCACTTTGTGTAAGTTCTATCCCTATAACATATATATCTAAATGCTTAAATCCCAATTTCTCTTTTAATAAAGTAGAGGAGATGGCGGTGGGACTGTAGCTCAGTGACAGAGTGCTCACTGGCCTAGCATGTGCAAAACCCTCAGTTCAATCTCTAGCACACCATACATACACATAGGAGAGAGAGCTAAAGGAAGTCAAGTGAATCAGTAACTCCCTAGAGAAGAAGACCTAAAGAAAAATAATTATAAAACATAGATTAGAACATTGGCTTTATTTATATCTTTTGAGGAGTTAACAAAGTTTACCTATGAGTGGTGGGAATTATAAGTAAGTTTTTATTTTCCTCTTTATATGCTTACAATTCTTCATCAAAATTCTGTAATAAACTTTTTTTTGTTTTGTTTTGTTTTGAGACAGGGTCTCGCTATATAGTTCAGGCTAGCTTTGAACTCACTAAGTAGCTCAGGCTGGCCTCAAACTTGCAGTGATCCTCCTGCCTCAGCCTCCCGAGTGCTGGAATTCAGGCGTGCACCACTATGCCTGGCTTAATAAACTTCTGATAAATACACAGAATTTGTTAAGTTACATTTCTTATAACTCCCTTTTTAAATGCGAAAACAAGTTGTCCCTCTGATGCCCCCTTTGTGGTATTTAATGACTCATCAGTACCACCCCACCTCAGACAGCCTCCCTTACACTAGAAGCCAATGTTTCACTTCCCACTATGCTCTTCTGTCCCAGAAAGCTTTAAAAGAGAGACTACTTGCCTGCATCGCCACTTCAGCAGAATCCCCTCTCGGCAGCGCCCCAGCCTCCAGTTCTGAGACACCTTCACCCGTTCCTTCACGGGGACACTGCTCATTCTATGTCAAAAAGAACAGAAAATCCAGTCACTACAACTCACTTCAACAAGAAAAAAATTCATGGGCTTACTGAGTCAGGACTTGGGAACACCTAGGATGTAACCAAATATAAGTAAAGGGATTAGGAGACAAATGAGGTTAACTCTTGTCTCTCCATACTTGGATAAGCAGGAAAACCAAGGAGAAAAGCCTACTTTTTAAACTACTAAGAGTCTACATTGATGCCAAAGCAATCTAATAGAAAACAGACCACAAATAGTTTGAGAACCTCTGAATGTCCATATGGGAAAAAAATGAACCCTGACCCTACCCCTAACACCAAACAGGAAAAGTAATTCAAAATAGATCATAAACCTAAACATGAAACCTAAAACTAGGAAGGTATTAGAAGAAATGAGATAAAAGCATCTCCCTGCCTAGGCAGTTAGGTAAAGTTTTCTTAGGACACAGAAAGCAATAACACAGAAGAAAAATCCAATAAATCAGACTTAATCCAAATTTAAAACTTATGCTTAACAAAATGAATACACAAACCATACTCTGGAAGAAAACAGCCACAAAATATATATCTGGCAAAGGATGTGTATCCTCTCTATATATATGTTTTTAAAGACCCATAAGGAACTTTTTTACTTTGGTTGTGGGAAAGCAAAATGGTACAGCCATTTTGGAGAAAAGTCTGGTAGTTCATTATAAATATAAGCACACACCTACTCTACAACCCAGGTAGAATAAAAACACATGTCTACAAAAGGACTTATGCAAGAATGTTCAAAGAAACTTTAGGCATAACAGCCAAAAGTTGTAAACATCTCCAGCATCCATCAACAGAAGAGTGGATAAATACACTGTGGTAAGTTCATACAATGGAATAATACTCAGCAATAAAAAGGAAAGAAGTACCAATAACACAGTAATGTAGATGAATCACAAAAACATGATATTGAATAAAAAAACAGCTTACACAGAGAATTCATATTGTATGATTTCATTCACACGAACTTGAGACAAGGGTTAACTAACCTATAATGTAAAAATCAGAATACCAATTACCACTAGAATGGAAAAGGAACTGACAGGGCAGGCACATGTAGAAACTTTCTGGCTTTTGTTCAGTCTCTAAATCTTGAAGAGTTTGGGGTACACAACACATATGCACTAGTTAAAAATGTATTAAATAGCCAGGCATGGTAGCACACGCCTATAATCCCAGCACTGGGAGACTAAGCCAGGAGGATCACCACAAGTTCGAGGCCAGCCTGGGCTACATAATCAGTTCAAGGCCAGTCTGAACTACCTAGTGAGACCCTGTCTCAAAAAAAAGAAAAGAAAAAGTATTAAATGATGTACTTAAAATGTGAGCATTTTGCCAGGTATAGTGGTACACACCTATAATCCCAGCATTCTAGGCAGCTGAGGCAGAAGAATCACCAGTATGAGCTTAATCTGGACAACTTAGTAAGACCCTATTTCAAAATTTAAAAAAAAAAATTTAAGGGATGGGGTTGTAGCTTAGTACAAAGACCTCAGGTACAATCCCCACTACCCCCTCCAAAAAAAGAGCATTTACTCAAATATGAATTCACTATACATTTTTCTTTAAAAACATAATATATTTTAATCAGTGATACGCAAGCATGTTGAAATATTTAGGGTTAAAGTATACTGGCTGGTATCTGTAACTTACTTTGAAATGTATGGTTAAGCAAATAACTCTAGAAGCTAGGGGCTAAGTATAAGAATGTTCACTGCAAAATTCATTCAATTTTCTATTTATTTTAATTTTTTTGCTTAAAATAATGTTGGCTAAGGAGTGTAAACAGTATTTCTTGGGTAAGAAAGGCAATGGCCACAAGTGTCAACCTGGCACAGTGGCAGTGAGATGGTGCCACTTAGGGTTGGCTATGTAGGGAAAAGAGTTGAAAGCCTTTTCAGAGTACACTTTTGGATAGAACTTTGAAATCATGGGCAAGAATTTGAAAATTCCATTTTAGGCTGCCCATAACGCCCCTCTATCTTCTTGCCTTGCTCTGCTGGACGATATAAGGTACATTGTTTCAGATAGAGTGATAACTGCACTGTCAAATCAAACTGCAAGTTCTCTACCTAAGGAGAGACACACATTTCTCCCATCTTCCACTTATACCATCACACTCACCACCTTCTACTGAAAGCTGGGAATTCTTGCTTTCAAGATTTTAATAAATACAGTTAGAAGGAATGGTTTTGGCAGCCAGAAAGATACCTAATCCATTTCTAGATAAACAGTTTTCTGCCTTCTGGCCTTATTTTATTTATTTGCATTGAATAATTATTTTTGGTTACTAAAATAAAACACAGGTAAAAAAAAATACATAGTATGAAATGTTAACAATACAAAAGCCAAGATTCTCTCTCCTCTTCTCTAGAGGCATGCACACGTGTGTGTGTGTGTGTGTGTGTGTGTGTGTGTGTGTGTGTGTGTGTACTGGTGCGTGTGAATATTCCTATATATATTCCTCACCTCCTCCCCTTTGCAGTACTGGGAATTGACCCCAGGGCCCTCACACTGAGCTACAGCCCCAGCATTTTGTTTATTTTTTATTTTGAGACAGGGTTTCACTAAGTCACTAACCTGCCCAGGCTGGGTTAGAGCTTGTAATCCTCCTGCCTCAGCCTCGCAGAGTGCTAGGATTACAGGCATGGGTCACCACATCTGGCTTCTCCACTTAATTTTTTAAAAATAGCATACTATTCCACTCACTGCTTTCTTCATTTTACCATACATTTTAAGAATCAGTTATTATACACTCCTTAGCAATAAATTTAGATCCATCTCATTCTCTTTAATAGTTGTTCAGAACTCCATTATGTGACTCTACTATATCCTCTCATAATTTATTTAGCAGTCATCTACTTACTGATATTTACACTGTTTCCAGGCAAGCGCTTGCACCATTGAGCTATATCCCCAGCCCTTACACTGTTTCCTGACTTTTGCCATTACAACAATGTTGGAATAACTGCCTTTATACCTTTATTCACATGCAGAGAAAAAATATTAGAAGTGGTATTGAACAGGTGAAAGGAAACGGCACATCTATAATTCTGGTAGATATGTTACTGACAAATCATCAGGATGATAAACCAATTTTCACTTCAAACAGCGAGTTTCAGTGTTTATTTCTAAGTATCTTTGATTTTCATTTAAAAAAAAAACTTTTTAAAGTTTGGAATAACTTTAGATTTCAAAAAAAGTAGCAAATAGTGTACAGAGAGTTCTTATATACTCTTCACTGAGTTTCCCCTGATGTGTACATCTTATATAACTACAACACATTACTAAAGTATTAACAGACAAATTTTATTCAGAGTTCACCCATTTCTCCACTGATGTCTTTTTCTGACCCAGGATCCAGTCTAGGATCCCATATCATCACGTGCCCTGAGTCCCCTCTAACCTATAGGTATTTCCCCTCTTTATTATCCATCTTGACACTTAAAAAAATTTTTTTTCCCTCCCTACAGTGTTGGAGATCAAACTCAGGGCCTCAGGCATGCTAGGCAAGCATTCTACCACTGAACTACCTCCACAGCTCTAAATTTTCTGTTTATCTTTGCAATTCTAAGAAGTAAAATATGCTTCCTCTCTGTTGTGTAAATGTGTATTTTTTAATTATGAAAGACAATATCGGATCATATATTTAAAAACTGTTAGTAGGAGGTCCATGTACAGCTCAGTGGTAGTGTTTGCCTAGCATGCATGAGGGCCCAGGTTCAATTCCCAGAACCACAATAAACAAAATTTTAAAAGCCATTAGTATTTCTTCTGTGAAACACTTCTTCATTCTTTTTGCCCCAACTTCCCATTAGATTGGTGTATTAATCTTTTTAGTTTATAGAGGTACTTTATGTAGATGGTTGTAAGCTTTTCTCTATTTGATCACTTTTTTCACATTATTTTGTCCATGCAGACATTTAAAAGTTTTGTATCTATGATTTCATGTCTATCTTTTGAAACACTTCACACAGTATGAATGATCAGGAAAGGTTTTGCTGCTGTAATTTGCTTGCTAAAATGTATTTCATTTCAAACTTTACTACTGAAACTCTTCTCAATATACTGACTTTAGTTCATACAAATGAATACTATTTTAAAATGGTATAGAATATAATTTCTCTGCACCATGATTCTAAATGTAGTTCACTTAACCAACATTTAATATGGTTCTCTTGCAACCCAGAACTCACTGTGCAGTGTGAGGTTTGATATATTTAGGAATACTGCTGCAGGCACAGCGGTGCATACCCGTGATGCTGGCATTCCTGCAGGGGAGGTAAAGGGAATGAAAGTTTTACGTCAGCCTGGACTACACAGTGAGACTCTGCCTCACAAAACAAAACAAAAAAATATGATACCAAATATAGATTAAAGTGATGAGAGGAATTAAGGTTGATTCCAGACTAAAGAGTTGTTAATTAGAGAGTGCAGGACATGAGCAAAATCTCAGCTCTGTAGATTCAGTATTCCCATTTTCATGTTGGGATACATGAAGATAACTTTTTCTCCCTCTTTCTTAACGGCTTCTATATTGAACATGGGGCCTGGAGTTGGAGATACGTCTTACTGTGTTTGGATCATGTTTAAATGTAATAAGTAGTAACATCAGATTAAAACTTCCACAGGTTTTAATAAAAAAAAAAAAGAAACTGTCTCTGATTTTTTTAAACCTAGACTTAGAATCATTTTTTATTTAGTTTGACTGATTGGAGACAGGGTCTTATTACATAGCCCAGGCTGTCCTTGAACACACAATCCCCTTATCTCAACCTCTTGAGTGCTGGGATCACAGGTATGCACCATCATGCTCTGCTGTCTCTGATTTTTAAAAAGCCAGAATTATCCATACTAATATGAACTCAGTATGTAATAAACCAAGAAAAATTTTAACCTAAGGAAAAAAAATCACTACTTAATTAGTGCGTATTTCTGACTTTGTTAGAAGGGCTGGAAAACTGGA